TAGAGCGGCCACAGTCACGTAAGCATCTTATTAATGATATTCGATTTAATGATTATTTGTTATACCATGATAAGTGTTATAATTATTTAAATGTGTATTAATTACCCTGCAGTTTAATATCTAAAGTCATAAACCATACATTGTTTTACAGGATATGCATACCTGAATAACGAATTATAATTTGATATTCACTATACTATAGTTAATTTTGAGATTCGTTGTTATCAATGATATTGATGTTTTATATGATCATTTACAAGTTTATTAATTGTCTATGTAATGTTTCTTACAAATGGTATTTGTTATTCGTTTAGTCACCAGACGTACAGGTAGATGAAAATTAGTGAAGTTAAAACCACGAGACAGAAAACAATAAATGAATTAGAACCAGAACTTTGTTCGTCTGAGTTGTTTGTGTGACGTATTAAACCCGGTGACACCCCCAGAGTGTGTGAATTGGTTTTCCGCATTCTACAAATACATTACTTTACAAATAATTAATTTAACACCATTTATTATTTTCACACATTACTTATTTTATATAAAATATTGATCGAAATGAATTTATAGACATCGGTAAACACATGTATGTATTGTATAACATATGTAAAGAATTATCATTTTATGTCGGATTATGCCTGTTTTATGTATCAGAAAATCAGTAATTCATGGTGTATTTAAACTCACACACAATACTTAATTATTAGTCAACGTTGTTCAACTATAGTCAAAATATAACGTCCTGGACGTTTTTTTGTCAACAACAACCAACATTTCTAATGCAACAGTGATCGCAAATTGGCTCCGTAACTGCGATTAAGTGATTTTTAAGGGACTAGGACCAGGATTTTGCGAACCATTTACTAAGTTTGCAGCACACATTAGCGAGCATGTGGCATCCTTATATTTGAAAAGATGATGAGATGGGTTATAATTTAATTATAATCAAAAGAAAACCCTGCCTTATACACCGTGGAACGCATCTTCTATGTGGATATTGTAACATAGACACACTTGACGGTATATACATTATAGGTGTAGAGTGGGGTTGTTTTCTTTAAAAAAAAAAAAAAGTCCTTGTGTCACGAATGAAAGACACTATGGAATTAGAAGGCAGAAGTCTTTACCACTACGCTACATTTCTACTGTACTGTATAAGTGTTATATTGACAATCATTGGAAAAAAAAATATGCTCTCATTGATATATCAGTATTTCTTCTCGTTTGATTTCTTTTAAGGGATTTATCTTCTAACGACATATCTGGTGTAACAAAAGATGCATTCAGTCATCTAACAAGACTTCAAACTTTGTAAGTGTAAATGCACAAGTTATGCAATGTCATTTGTTAGGATTTTTGATTGTCCATAAAAGTAATATTGTTTTATATACTTGATATTTCAAAATATATACATAGCCGTACATTAATATGAAACCAAACAGGGAAATACTTATTTTGATACTCTGAAACGTCAGAAACAAACAAAAACGCACACATTACATAAAAGGCTTAAAGTTGATTTGTTGATTTTTTTTTTTAAATTTACACTTGACCGTGTATACCACAAGTTACTAAGGATTTTATACATAAAATGTATGTAATAATCATTTAATTGATAATTACTACAGGGCTAATGTGATTCTGAACTAACATCACGTGGATGCTCCGAGAAATTAGCTGTCTGCAGGAGAATAATATCTGCAGGGAAACTAAATAGGGAAATTCTTATATGATTCAGATAGTTCTCTGCAGATATTATTCTCCTGAAGACGATTGAAATAACTCAATCGAAACGTCGAGTCATTCTCAACAAACAACGGTTCTTTTCAAAACTATATACGTGGTGTACCGCAAGCATTAAATATATCATAACCTTTGTTAAAACAATGATAATGATGTTAGTAAATGACGAGGATGATAAAGGATATCAATGTTGATGTTATGATAATGAACAACGATGATGACAGGTGATATGATTATCACCACTAAAATTCTCAAATTCTTTGCGAGCATTTCTTGTTACGGTAGGCCAATTTCCTCTATAAATTGCACATTCTAGGGAGTTTTCATAAATTTTGACGAAATTAGAATTAAAACACATAAATATTTTGCGCCCTTCGCGCGCATTTTTAGGGCTTTTTTAGGTTTATCCTTTTAAGTTATTTAAACACATAATAGTCCCAAACTCAAGGAAGACATATTTAAGATAGATCGTTTTAACCTAAAAGAAGGGCCTCAATGTGTATTGATGGTGAAAGAATATGTTTGTAATAAATAAAACCATGATGAAAATGCTTATATTTAGTTTCAACACACGTGTGTCGCCTATATTATAAATAAGATAAATCCTATGTCGTATTGTTTTCTATATGGGGAGTGGAGTGGGGTGGGGTGGGTATGGTAAATTACTAACCGAGAAAATAAATACCCACTTTGACCCAAGGCCCCTGTTACGCGCCTGGTGTTAGCGCCAATGTGTGCCCTTGTGCGGACAGGGGAAACCTTGTTTTTGCAAAATAAATTGATGCAACTTGCTATTATAGGCCTAATCAATAAATTCCTCATCAACCGATATAACCTTAAACATTCTTGGAATTGACATAACATTATCCTAATAAAGGTACCTTCATTGGTACAATTCTATTTTTTTAATGTTGACTTCTTACAAACATTTCGTTCATATTCAATATGAATAAAGGCATAGATTATATAGCAAGCAGGTAAAATTAGTGTTTATAATATTATTATAAGCACTAATTTTTTCGATATTCTATACACATGATATGAGGTATTGTATAGGCTGTGTCTACCCAATTAATAATAATAATAATAATAAATAATAATAAATGACATTTATAAAGCGCTCTACGCCAGCAAGTCGGCCCCAGAGCGCATACAATTATCAAATTTAAACCTCAACAGTGTACAATACAAATTCAAGGAAAATATATACAATAGTATCCTTCAAAACACCAAATATGCCAAATGGAATAATTTCAATTGACAACAATAATTCAAATAATTTACTCTATTTACAATAAGAATACAGTATTACAAAAATATATAATTACAAAAATATAGTAAAAGGGAAGGCAATCGGGCAATATAGAAAATAAAATTATTAATATTAACAATATAAAAAATTACAATTATTCAAATTTACATATAATAAAAGATCAATCAATTGCATTATAATCCGATAATTACTTAACATTGATTATTACAAAAATATAATTATCATCTGCAAGATATTTAAATTTACAATTTAAAAAGATAAGTTTTTAAACCAGATTTAAAACATTCAACTGACATCGCCTTCCTCAAAAATTCGGGAAGATCGTTCCATTCCTTGGGTACGGCAATGGAAAATGCTCTGTCACCATACGTAGATTTAGTAGCACGAGCGGCTTGCGGGATTTGAAGCAATCCACTAGAGCTGGATCTTAAGGTGCGTGACGGTATATACGGTTTAAGCATCTCATCTATATAAGATGGGGTAGTACCGGAAAGTGATTTATACACCATCAGAAGAATTTTGAAAAGAATCCGCTTCTTGATGGGAAGCCAATGGAGCTAATTTAGAATTGGTGTAATATGAGCGTACTTTCGGGCACCAACAATCAATCGAGCGGCAGTGTTCTGCACACGTTGGAGTTTACTTAAATGTGTGCCAGGAAGTCTGACAAGGAGAATGTTGCATCAATCAAGTTTAGATGATATGAACGCGTGGACAAGATGCTCTGTTGTATCCTTATCTAAAAACTTACGTATACGGCCAATAGTTCTGATCAAGTGAACGGCCGACCTACAAACATTATTCACATGAGTGGACATGGTCAGATTCTGATCAATAAAGACACCAAGATTTCTGGCTCCCTGTGCAGGAATGATATCGGTGAGTCCAATTTTAATAGTACAAGATGTACATTGCTGCCTCTTATAACGAGATGTTACATGCAAAATATATAAATTATTATAAATTATAGAAATATCATTCCACTGATTCCGTGCGCATTCAATATGTCTTGAATGGGACCAGAATATAAATTACAACTAATGGGTCCAATGACGGATCCCTGAGGTAAGCCACAAGTCAATGTATTCTTTTTGGGTATAGTCCAACCAATTACGACAGACTGTTCTGTTCACGCTTTGTTAAATAGGACGACATCCAATCAAGAAATCTGCCGGATAATCCGTATCTATAATAATAATAATAATACTAATTTTGACTTATATAGCGCATTATGCTAAAGCCTCAATGCGCTTAACAGTAAAGAAAAAAGGTGAGTTTTTAAAGCTGCCTTAAAATCATCAATGGAAGTTGCCTGTCGGATTGTAATAGGCAGAGCATTCCAAAGAAAGACAGAAGCCCAAAAGAAAGAACGACTACCATAATGCTTTGTCGACGGGCGAGTGGAATGAGCAAGTAGAGACTCTGAACTAGATCTCAGGGACCTCTTAGGAATGTAAGGATGAATGAGTTGTGAAATAAACATTGGCGAGGAATCACGTAGACGTCTAAAAGATGATGGTCCACCGTGTCGAAAGCAAATGATAAGTCCAAAAGTATTAAAATAACCTCCTTGTTATCATCAACCGCCCAAAGAATGTCGTTTTGCACACGAATGAGAGCCGTCTCTACGCTATGGTGTCGTCGGTAGGCAGACTGAAGGCTGCTATACATGGAGATTGTTGTTATCAAGGTACGTCAGTAGATGTGATGAAAAGGCACGCTCGAGCACCTTAGCTATGAAAGGTAAATTTGAGATAGGGCGATAATTTTTCAAATCCTCAGGATCAACATTGGTTTTCTTGGGGATTGGTAAGATGATTGCAGATTTAAGAGCCCCGGGAACATAACCTCTTTGAAGGGAGTGGTTGATAATTTTTGTGAGAATCGGTCGTATGACATCAATGCAATCTTTAAGCAGAGCCGTGGGTATAGGATCCAGAATACACGAAGTTGTTGGCATACTAAGAATTTGTTCCACTTCATCTTAAGAGAGTGGTAGAAAATTGCAGAAACCATTTTCACAAGAATCACAAATGTCAACAGCCATAGTTGGGGGTATAGTTTCATCCAAATACTCACGGATTTGATTGATTTTGTCTTTGAAAAAAGTGGCAAACTTATCTGCAATGTCACTGTCTTTACCCACTGGTCTGAAAGTGCGTGATGAACCATTTGACATAGTGGCAACGTTTTGGAAGAGCTGCCTTGAGTCACATTTATGGAATTCAGCTTTATAATGGTCTGTTTTAGCTTTATTGAGCAAACTACGATACTTTTTACAGTCATCACGAAAAATTTGCCGATCGACCTCAAGCCCCGACTTTTTCCACCTACGTTCACTGCAACGCTTTACGCATTTAGCATTTCGTAGCTGATCTGAGTACCATGGAGTGTGTGGTCTAAATGTAACAGTCCGTAAAACTTCCGGAGCATGTTTATCGAGGAGTTTTCTCATAGTTTCACTATATAGTTATGTTATCATCAAGGTCAGTGCAGGCTTCTGTAACAAACACTGAACGTTGTATATCTTTCTTAAAATCTGCCACATTAATATTGCGTAACTTCCGTGTGTTGACTTTAATCTTTGTGGAGTTAGGTTTCAACATGTCTCTTATACACAGCTAGACGTGTATAAGAGACAGCCACTAGAGCTGGATCTTAAGGCATTGCTGCGCGTGATCACAAGATCAATGATGTGACCGCACCTGTGTGTTGGACTATCAACTGCTTGGATAAGATCAGCAGATGAGAGCAACTCGCGAAAGGTACTTGCATCACGGTTATCATTCACATCAACGTGAAAATTAAAATCACCAGTTATAAGGATACAAGTGGAGACCGTTGGAAGCAAGTCTATCAGGTTAGAAAATTCGTCAAAGAAAAGACTAGTCTTCAGTTTCTTTTTCCTTGACGGTGGAGGCCTGTAAATGAGGAAAAGTCTGATTCATTTGCTGCAAGATGAAATGGTTATGTCCATGTGTTCGAAGGAAGCGAATGCTGGACCTTTCCTCAATATTATACAAATACCACCTCCTCTTGAATTCATACGAGGGAGATGATGTATGTCAAAATCTGGTAGTGAGTTCTGTAAATCAGCCAATATGAAATTATCATAATTTTGCCCTGTCAGCCATGTTTCAGTGATTGCCAGCAAGTCCAGTTTTTCTGAAATTATTAAATCTATAATGGACGTTGTGCATTCCCTTTTCTTAATAGAGGCAGCGTTCCAAACTGCAAACCTGCAGTTCAATCTGGGTATGTAGCTGGGATGTATAGCAGAGAATTTAACCAGATTTGTGCTATCCGCATTCCTTGTGTTGATGGTTTCTTCCTTTCTCATGTATGTTATTAAGGGAGTGATCCTGAACACATTTCTTTGGGCTTTGCATTAATTTTCGCAAGTGAGTGGAATTTTAACAAGATTTGATGGAAATGAATTGGTTACTTTGGTGGATGTAGTCCTATGCGTAGTTAAAATTCTGATTGCACGGATCTTGTTTTTACCAGCTCTGCAACTACGCTGGGATTTTTTAGCTATGTTCAATTGTTTTAACTTTAACCAAGTAGACTGATCAATGGGTCTACAACAACTGTGGGCCAAAATGTTCCTCAACTTCATAAGCTGATTTTTGGAGTATATGATTCGAACCATAATTCCCAGTAATTAATGGTATATAAAACAATTTCACAGCACTCAGTGATAATGATAGGAATGTAGTCAGGTGTCAACAACAAAGTTAGTTGATCTGTGGCATGTAAGTCAGGAACAAATGCCACAGGAAAGATATCACAAAAACAAACTGGGTCAAAAAAGAAGTATAATAGCAATTTTAGTTAGAAAACAAGAAACAGTCACTGCAGCACAACACTGCGCACAACACATCATCATCACTTTACATCATTAATAATATTGAATAGCTTTATAATTTAAAACATCAAAATCAGATGAAAGTAAAAATAGCTTTCATTAAATTTACAGATGGTTTTACACAAATAATTCAATTTTACTAACCAATGAATCATGCCAAAGAATGATACATACGCTCGCTGTCTGTTAATAAGCAGGGATTTTTTTCCCCTAAAGAAAAAAAAACTTTTAATTGTAAAATTGTAAGTTAACTGTGTCCGAAGTGCTAG